CTAAGGATCTTGGAATCTGTAGTTCACTATTTCAAAGTATAGTCTTCTTAGCCTAGGAAAAGGTGGCATCTATCATTCAGTTTGATCTGGACTGGGAGGGGTTATGTTGGTCCAGGAAGTTGGAATTTGGAGAAGTAGTTGCAATGATGGAGCAGTTATGACGGAGTGTCCTTTGAACGGGGACTGAGATAAGCACTGAGTGGCTGAAAGCCTTTGTTCACTATTCCACTTATTGAAAGGACATCCTAATGAAGGGTGTTGGGATTGGTCTTTCCCAAGGGAAATCCAAGTGGCTAGTGAATCATTTCTTTCCCTTTTCCCTGTTCCTTTTATGTCTGCTAGGGTAAGGCTATAATTTTTGTCTGTTTCTTGTTTCATTTTAAAAAAAACTATTTTTTATTCTTCCATTGGTATTTCAAATCTGATTTTCCTTAGATAAAGATGGAGTAGTTCTTGATTTTTAAATTTTTATTAGAGAGTGAAAGTGGTGGGAGAGCAGCTAGATGACTTCTTGGATAGAATGCTGGGTCTGGGGTCAGGAAGACCTGAGTTTAAATCTGGCCTCAGATACTGACTAGCTGTGTGAGCCTGGGCAAGTCACTTAACTTCAATTTGGTTTAATCCACTGGAGAAGGAAATGGCAAACCACTCCAATATCTTTGCCAAGAACTTTTCATGACTCTATGGACCATAGCAGTGCAGTGGATAGAGTACTGGGCCCTGGAGTCAAGAAGACTCATCTTCCTGAGTTCAAATCTGGTCTTAAACACTTACTATCTGTGTGATCCTGGGCAAATCACTTAACTTAGTTTGCTTCAGTTTCCTCAACTGTAAAATGAGCCAAAGAATGAAATGGCAAACGACTGGAGTATCTTTGCTAAGAAAACCCCAAATGAGGTCATGAAGAGTTGGACATGACTGAAAAATGACTGGATGACAACAAATAGGCAAATAGAGGTTATGTGACTTGTCCAGGGTCTCACAGCTAGTAAGTGTCTGAGGCTGGATTTAAACTCAGGTCTTCCTGACTCTATGCTTAGCATTCTATCCACTGAACCATCTAGCTCCCTCTCCAAATTCTTAAGCATCATATAAGATGAGATTTCTATTGATTAAAAGAAATAAGCTCAAAAATCTTATTTTTTATTAGAAGAAAAGTATTTCAAGCTAGATTTTTTTTAAAAAAAGTATTAACTATGTTACAAGAAACAAAATGAGACTGCTCAGGCTATATATTCACTTAGTGGGATAGAAGCCTTAAAGGGAAGAAAAGAAAGAAGAACTCAAATTTTAAGATTTCACACTTCCTTTCTCACCATTATACATTTATGTAAACACTTTTCCCTCAAGTCACATAGAGCTAATTCCATCAGATACTAATGAGATTTTTAGAGCTAGAAGGTATTATGACTGCAGTCTAGTTCAAACCTTTTATTTCTCCTCCAATTTTAAAAACATTTTTATTTAAAGTTTTGAGTTCCAAATTCTATTCCTCCCTCCCACCCTTCCCTGTAAGCAATCAGATATAGATTATACATGTACAATTATGGAAAAAATTTTCATATTAGTCATTTTGTACAAGAAGATTTGAAGAAAATTAAAAAATGAAAGAAAGTGAAAAACAGCATGCTTTAGTCTGTATTTAATCAATATCAGTTCCTTCTCTGGAGGTGGATAGCATGCTGCATCATTAGTCCTTTGGGATTGTCTTGGATCATTGTATTGCTGAGAATAGTTAAGTCATTCACAATCCTTCATCAAACAATATCGCTGTTGCTGTGTACAACGTTTAATTCTGTTCACTTCACTATGCATCAGTTCATGTCTTTCCAGGTTTTTCTGAAATCATCCCACTTGTCACTTCTTGTGGCACAATAACATTTCATTACAATCATATGCCACATCTTGTTTAGCCATTCCCCAATTGATGGGTATCCCTTTATTTCCAATTCTTAGCGATGTAATGCTTTTTAACAGCACTTTATTGTACATGGTTTGTTTTATCTTATCTCAGTAACCTACAGAGGTGTGTGTATTAATTAGTGCATTAGTTTTAGTCTATAAGCTCCCTGGAAGAGATCGTAGCTATACATTTTTATATGAGGCCATATACTTTATAATTTATTTGAGAATGAAGAACTACAGTCAGACTAAAAAGTTGCAAGGCAGCTTGAGATGTTGGAAGAATGATCCTTCAAAAAGAAACAAACACACAGTCAGCAGAGGGCACACGCTTCCAGGTGACATGTTAGGAGGTGGAGAGGTGGGGGCATTTATTTCCAGGCAAAGTCAATAAATACTCATCCTGTTATTATTCACTTTTTATATGAAGGCCCCTGGGAAAAGGAGGCACAAAAATCACCAGAGGTGGTTGTAGCTCTCTGAGAGACAGCTGCCAGGCGGAGAGAAGTACCTCACTCAGTCTTTCTTTTTCATTTGGAACCTGATCTCCATCTTGATAAAGGTCTTGATGCTCTCATCTTGGATGTTTCTGTCCACTGCAGCCAATGCTTTGGCCCCACTGTCCAGACAGTGCCGTGGGATCTCCTCGGCAAACTCGATCTACACTCAGTTGTGGCAGCCACTCATGCCAGCAATTTGTAGGGGGTGGCAACATTGGGGGATGAGGATATGGGGGCTCTGAGGAACCTCCATCAAAGTGAGAGGAGCCTTTCTGGCTGGGAATTGCATCTTCATGTTGCTTTTTGGAGTGTTTTCTCCAGAACCTTGATCTGTCCATTCTTCCTAAAAGTCCTGCTGCTGCTGCTGAGGGCTCTGGTACAGTACCTGTTGGGAATCCCAAGGAAGCCCAAGTGCCTAGCACAACTGCAGATTTGGAGTGGTTCCAGGGCAAGGGGAGCGGCAGATATGGTGGCGGCAGTCAACTGTCCCCGGCCGCTTGCTCTCCACAGCAGAGCATCCCGGCTCCAAACCTTTTATTTTACAGATAAGGAAATGGAGGCCCAAGAAAAGTAAAAGATTTGACCAAGTTGATGGCAAAATTAGTTAGTGGCAGAGACATAACTAAAACTCAGGTCTCCTGATTCCCTGGGTTCTGCTTTTTCCTGTGGGACTTCACATAACAAATGATGATGTAGTGTTTACATGTAGTGATGGTGAATCCATTTTTCCTTGTTGTTGTTAGGTCTTCCTTTTAGAAGGGGACCAATGATATCACTGGAAGATGTGTTCACTTGTACAAGAACTGGATTTAAATGAAGCAGAGTTGCACAAAGTCATCAGCCTCCCTCTCTCTTCCAGAGTCATTGAAGTCCAGCAGTAAAGCAAAAGTCAAGGCACTGGTGGTGGTCTAGGATGCAGTGGATGACCTTGGAATCTTTGATGCCAGACCTCATTCAGCTCATTCATGGCCACTGGAACAAACTGTTCTCACCTGCCCATTCCAAGGGAAATCTTCACGTGTTTGGGGTAGACATCCCCCTAATTCCCCAAAGGATTTGAAGCCTGTCTATTACCCTGAACCTGGTTTATCATATCTGCAGAGAAGGTTTTACTAGGGTATAACAGCTGGCCATGCTATCTATAATTACTATGGAAATCACAATTTGCTCCACCAAAAAGAGAGGGGAGTGGGTACTTGAACACACAGAATTTCACAGGTATTATCCTTACCCTAGCCTAAGAATCAGTGATTAGGTTTAGGAGCTGTGAGCATTTGTGATTTTAAACAAATTAGTAATCTATGCTTTTTTAAACCCTATAACTTTGTAAAGTATAACTATGTATGGTGGGCAAAATTGCCTCTGGGCTAAAACAAAGAGTTTATCTCTATCTGGATTAGGCTAGATCACTCCTAGGTAGCTTCCTGAGCCTAGGCAATCTCCATTTTCTTTCTTTTTTTTCCCCCCAAGTCAATCAGGGTAAAGTGACTTACCAGGGTCACACAGCTAGTGAGTATCATGTGTCTGAGGCCAGATTTGAACTCAGGTCCTCCTCCTGACTCCAAGGCCGGAGCTCTATCCACTGTGCCACCTAGCTGCCCCCAATCTCTATTTTCTGAGAAAAAAAAAATAAAAGGAGGTGAGTAGTAGAGGAAATGTAAAGTCCAAAGCCAAGCCCCATGGGCAGAGAAAGGCTTGGGGTAGGGGAAGGTCTGGGGAATTTAGGCCTTTTCCCTTTCTTTTGCTGGCTCAGTGGATAGAGTGACTGGCTCAGACATTTAATAGCTCTGTGACCTTGGGCAAGTACTTAGCCCTATTTGCCTCAGTTTCTTCATCTGTAAAATGAGCTGGAGAAAGAAATGGCAAACCACTTGAGTATCTTCATTAAGAAAACCCCAACTGGGGTCCTGAATAGTTGGACACAACTGAAAATGACTGAACAACAAACATAGTGACTAGGGAAGGCTTTCTGGAGGAGTCTTTCTGAGTCCCAAAGGACAGTCAGAAGTGTTAGCACTGCGTAGGAAGCATATCACAGCAGATTCCCAAAAGGGGAAACTGGGTAATTACTGTTTGTCATTAACAAGTTTCTATGGGACTTGGCTGCCAAGGAAGCAGGAGAGAGACAGAGAGACAGATAGAGAATTATGCAAGGATCAGAGGCAAGAAAGTAGGCTCTTGGAAAAGGGTCTGGAGCCTCACTCAGGCCAAATGTGTAAGGCTGGGACAGAGGATAGACAAGGATAAAGGGCAAGCCTATAAGGTCTCTACTCCAATCATAAGATTCAAGGATTCTAGGGGCAGCTAAGTGGTGCAGTGGATAGAGCACTGGCCCTGCAGTCAGAAGGACCTGAGTTCAAATTCAGCCTCAGACCAAACACTTGACACTTACTAGCTGTGTGACCCTGGGCAAGTCATTTAACCCCAACTGCTTTAAAAAAAATTAAAAAAAAAAAGGATTCTACAGCCATTGTCCACTGATTGCCCCATAAATTGGTTCTTCTCTTCTACTGGCCTCCTTTTGCTAAGTCTATCCATGGCTTGGAATAAGACTGCATGATTTTGATTCCTTCTACTACTCTTCTCTCCCAATCTCAGAACTGGAAAGACAAGATCCTGTGCTATAAAGGAAATTCCTCAACAGAAGCTTTGATAGCTATTTTGCCTCAGTTTAAACACTTTCAATGATAATGATGGGATATGCTCAACATCCTCTTCCAGCACTGATCAGCACCTAAATTAACTGAGGCCTATGATAAAAGAACAGGTGAGTAGGAAAAAAAAGATCCGGGACTGGAGGTAAAGAGACCAATTCAATCCAATACTATCCAAGAAGTATTTGTTAAGCAGGAACCATAATGTGAATCACTAGGCTACCAGAGACAGAACATTCCTTGTCCTCACAGACCTCAAATTCTACATAGAGACAGCATCTAAATAAATACATACATCACTATTTGAAGAGGGAGCAAACACTAATTTGGGGGATCAAGAAAGGCTTTCCATAGAAGGTGCAATATGAATTATCTTTGAAGGAAATAGGGGATACTAAGAGGTGCAGGTGAGGAAAAAATTCAGTCCAGGCCCAGAGGATAGCCTAGGCAAAGAAATATTCAAAAATCATATGATCTTATCTTTATAGAATCAATTAACTCAAGTAGAATTCTCAAATCTAGAATCCTTGAATAGACAACAATCTTAGAATTATAAAATGCTAGACTTGTATAATTTTTATGTTTACCCAACCATATGCAGCACATAGTGGATGTTAAGTACATAAATACTAGTGGAAGGAAAAAAAGAAGGAAGAAAGGAAGGAAGGAAGGAAGGAAGGAAGGAAGGAAGGAAGGAAGGAAGGAAGGAAGGAAAGAAGGAAGGAAGAAATGCTAAGTTTAGGGAAGGCAAGTAGAACCCTGGCCCACCAACTCTAAATACAATGCTTTTGAGTAGGGCATCAGTAGGCAGGGAGACCACAGTCTCCCATTTCCTATTCCTGACACATACAACTATTCACTTCAGCTGATTTCATAATTTCTGGGAAGTATTAGAAACTAAAATGATCTTCAATATAATTTAGCTCATGAAATAAGAATAATTATTTAGAGGTTTTATTTGTTAAAGGGGATCATATTTTGTAATACTCTATTCATAGAATATATATTTTTAAAGTTTCTTTTTTTTCTTTTTAGGCAATTGGGGTTAGGTGACTTGCCCAGGATCACACAGCTGGTAAGTGTCAAGTGTTTAGTCTGAGGCAGGATTTGAACTCGAGTCCTCCTGACTTCAAGGCCAGTGCTCTATCCACTGTGCCACCTAGCTGCCCCCATAGAATATATTAATGGTGTGACCCTAAGCAAGTCACTAAATTCTGTTTGCCACAGTTTCCTCAACTGTAAAATGAACTGGAGAAGAAATGGCAAACCACTCCAGTACTTTGGCCAAGAAAACCACAAAGGAGGTCACAAAGAGTCAGACATGATTGAAAAATGACTGAACAATAACAATATTCACAGAATACCACATAGCTTCCCCTATCCAGCTGTGTATGACCTTTACTGTCTGTAGGACAACCTCAGAGTGACTGAATAAAATCCTTGAATTTTGAAATACTTTTTTTTTGTGAGGCAATTGGGGTTAAGTGACTTGCCTAGGGTCACACAGCTAGTGTCAAGTGTCTGAGGCCAGATTTGAACTCAGGTCCTCCGGATTCCAGGGCCAGCCCTCTGTCTACTGTGCCACCTAGCTGCCCCACGAATTCTGAAATTCTAAGAACTTAAAATCTTAGAATAATATTCAAAAATCATATGATCTTATCTTTATAGAATCAATTAACTCAAGTAGAATTCTCAAATCTAGAATGCTTGAATAGACAACAATCTTAGAATTACAAAATGCTAGACTTGTATAATTTTTATGTTTACACAACCATATGCAGCACATAGTGGATGTTAAGTACATAAATACTAGTGGAAGGAAAAAAAGAAGGAAGAAAGGAAGCAAGGAAAGAAGGAAGGAAGGAAAGAAGGAAGGGAAGAAGGAAGGGGAGAAGGAAGGGACAATTAGTCAAAAAGCGTTTATTAAATGCTTACTTTGTGCCAGGCAATATGTTAAAGTGCTGAGGATAGAAAGGCAAAACACTGTCGTGTCCCCCCCCCCCCCAGCTATCTATGCCCTCAAGGAACTCATTCAAGTTAGGGTACAACATGTAAATAACTAGGTGCATTCAAGTTATATGCAGAATAGACAAAAACTAATCGAGAGAGGAAAGCCTTAGAACTTTGGGTGGAGGGACACGGAAAGGCCTCTTGTAGAACGTAGGATTTGAGCTATGTTGAAGGAAAACTAGGAGGGAAACTAGGAAACTAGGAGGAAGAGGTGAAGAACTACAGGCAAGGGGGAAAGCCAATGTAAAGATACAGAGACAGCAGACAGAATGTCCTACAAGGAACAGCCAGGCCAGTGTAGCTTGAATGCAGAATGTGTGAAGGGGAATAAAGTGTGAGGATATTGGAAAGGAAAGAAAGGGCCAGGTTGTGAAGAGCTTTAAATACCAGAGGACTTTATATTTGATCCTGAAGGTAAAGGGAACAATTGAAGTTTATTGAGTAGAGAAATGACATAGGCAGATTCTGGAAAATCACTTTAGCTGCTTAGTGGAAGATGGATTAGAGGAGGAGAGGCTTGAAGCAGAGATATTAATATTTCAGGCAAAAAGTAATGAAGGCATGAACTAGGATGATAGCTGTGTGAGCAGAGAGTGGGGGATGCATATGAAAGAGACGATGTGAAGGTAAACATGACAAAATTTGGCAACATGTGTTGAATGAGTGAGAATTAAGGAGTCAAGTACAACGCCAGGCTTTCTAGTCTAGGTAATTGGAGGGATCATGGGAAGTTGGGAAGGGAAGCTTGGGGGGGGGGGAAGTTCATGTTATGGTTTGAATATAATTGAGTTTGAGATGCCCACAGGGCATTCAGTCCAAAATGTCTAAACGGGCAGTTGGTGGTGCAGGGGCTAAGCACTAGAGAGAGATTAGGGATGGAGATAGAGCGCCGAGAATCCTCGGCCCACAGAAGCTGAGATAATCAACTCGGATCTCCACACCCCTGGGTCCTTCTTAGCCTCGCTCTCCTTCACTTACATTAACTGTCCACATTCCACCAGAGCCCCCAAGAAGCCGGTGAGCATCCAGATACAGACCTAGAGCATTCTCTATGTTGAGAGGGTCAAACAATTACTTTTTATTTCTGTTTGATATGTGGAAGAGTTTCCTCTGGTGGCAATGAATTATAATTGTGACATGACCGCCTGCCACATACTCTACTATATCACGGCCATGAGCCTTGACTCTGTATCCTGCTGGTGTCCATAACTCGGGTTGTTAATGTCCCTCACTCCCCCTTATATATGTTTTTGGTGAATGAACTGTCCTTCTCTGCCACTTCAGTAATAATAACAGCTAGCATTTATACAGCACCTATTATATGCCAGGCACTGCTAAGCACTTTACAAACATTATCTCATTTGATCCTCATAATAACCTTGCCATGCAGGTGCTATTATTATCTCTATTTTACAGTTGAGGAAAGTGAGACAGAAGCTAAGTGACTTGCCCAAGGTCACACAGCTAGTGTATGAATCTGCATTTGAATCTGGAAATCTTGCTGACTTCATGCCCAGTGCTTTCTCACTTGCGCTACCTCACTGCATTAATTTTGTCTGTGCAAATGATTTTCAGTTTCACGGAATTAGTTATCTAGTCTATCTTTTGTAATTGCCTCCATTTCTTGTTTGGTTAAGAATATATCTCCTACCCATAACTGTGAGAAGTTTCCCGGTTTCTTTCTGTTGAAATCTTACCCATCCCTCAAGGACCACTAAAATTCTGTGTCTTCCATAAAAGCCTTGTAGTATGCTTTTTCAACCTCAAAACACAATACTATCATTATTTTATCGCATACACTCTTCTGGCAAGAAAGGACCTTTCCTTCCCTTGAGCTACCTCTTTTATGTAACTGACATGTTCTAATTTATATTATTGATTACACATTTTTTATCTCCATTATTATAAACTTCTTGAAAAAGGCATTTCCTTTCTTATCTTCATTTTTCCTCATTGCATATGTTACAAATAAAACTCTAACAAAGGTAGACAGAGGCACCTTTTCTCCAAACACAGACTGAGGCATATTTTCTCCAAGAAACATAAGTTTATTAGCAGGGCATGAACCTGTTAATAAAGTAGGCCAATGGATGCCTCAGTTCCAAAATAGAGACACAGGTCCTTTTTATAAACATAGAACAAAGAATAGAACAGGGTAGGTGAGGAAATAATACAATTGGTTATAGGGTTGGAAGCATCATGGGGCTGAGGAATTATGATTGGTTCTATTAAGGAATGTGGGCCGATAGATATGTGGGCTTTCTCTAATATATCTACTCACTCCAATCCCTCTGGCTCCTTCCTTTTCTTCTCCATTCTTGTCTACCACATTTCTTTCATCCTGTCTTCACTACCTGTTCCTGTGCACGACATAATATTGCAGTACCCCAAAGTCAGGATCCAGGGACATAGGGGTTAGATTTAGAAATATTATCATTAGTACTCTTCTTGGCTTTAGACCCCTAACATCCAGCCAGCCAATCTTTAGGTTGATAAATTATTTGAATAAAATTTTAATGGTAAATTCAGTGATCTTAAGAGTGAATTTAGTTTATATAGTGACTAGTTTTGTTTTGTGGACTTTTTGCACAAGGGGTTAGTTTTGCAATATGTCTGGGAAAAATAATAGTCACATCCTTATAATGGTCCTGGCCATTACAGTCAGTTGGATAATTGTAGAATCATTAAATAAAACCTTAGAATTCTTGAATTGTACCATCAAGAATACTTAAATGGACTTCAAGTATTATAGACCTGTAAAATCATATATTCAATCCATCAAACTTTGGGTAAAATACAAGAATCAAAGATTCATAGTATAATAGCAATGAAAAAGCAAGTAGCATTCATATAGTCAGTCCCTTAACTTCTCAAGCCTAAAGACAGAAATGATTTGCCTAAGTTAACTTACTAAATTATTATTACAATAATAACAAAACAGTGGTAACAATAATTAATATTTACACATCACTTTATATTTTACAAAAGACTTTTCTAACAGCCCTTGACATAGGTGATGCAAGTACAATGATGTCCATTCTGCAGTTGAGGAAACTGAGGCTCAGAGAGCTTATGTGATTTGCCCCAAATCACACAGCTAGTAAGTGACAGAACCAGGACTCAAACCCAAGATTTCTGACTCAAATCTATTGCTTTCCATTCAGTCAAACTTTATCAGATTGACTGTAGGATGACATATATAACATTGGTATTTTAATGGAGAATTGACCGAAGTAATAACACCGAAGAAGATGAATTTCACAAAATCAAAGAATTTCAGAGATAGAAGGCATCTGGGAAGTCAGTTTGTCCAAATTCATACCCAGAACACATATTCCACATATAAAGTTCCTAATAAGTGGTCATCTATATACCACTTGAAGATCTCTAATGATGGAGAATTTATTAACTCACATACTCTATTCCATTTCTGAATGTCTACCTCCAGTGCCCTGCTAATAAGGCCAAACTTCCCATTAAATAATCAACCATTTATTGATTGAGCATTTATTAAGTCAAAATCTGACTTTCTGTAACTTAGGATCATGAGATTATAGTTTATTGGTTCTAATTCCGTCCTTTGGGCCCAAATTAAATGTCTAATACCGCTTCCACATGAAAACAATTTGTATATTTAAGGCAGCTAGGTGGCACAGTGGATAGAGTGCTGGGCCTGAAGTCAAGAAAATTCATTTTCTTGAGTTCAAATCTAGCCTCAGATAGTAGCTGTGTGACCCTATGCAAGTTACTTAAGCCTGTTTGCCTCAGTATCTTTGCCAATAAAACCCCAAATAGAGTCACAAAGAGTTGGACACACTGAAAAATGACTGAACAACAATCATGGCTTCATTAAATCTTTTCTGCAAACATCCCCAGTTTTTTCAACCTATCCTAATTTGACAGTTTCCAATTTCCTGTCACACAAAATTGCTGACACATATCAAATCTACGTGTAGTCCTATAAAACCCTTTGATATTTTTCACATAAAAAAGTTACTTAGCCATGCACTTTATGTCTTGTACAATTGATTTTTTCAGGAGCCCACTAGTAGGACCCATTTAAAT